GGCTTCGCTTGTCGGGGTGGCTATTATCGGGGTGGGTGTTCTGCCCTCTGATCAGGCGGTCGAGGCGAGTCCCCCGCGGTCGAGGGGAAACAGATGACATGAGCACACGTAGGGTTGAGTCGGGCACGTTCGTCTACGGGAGGAATCTTTCAAACGCAGTCCAGAAATAGGCCGGGGACGGCGTTTCCAATCTTATTCGCTCTTCATGCGTAGGTTTTAGCTGTTTGGGATGTCTCTTCCGAGACCCGCCTGCAGAAGCACGTGCCCGATCCGAACGTGGACGCTCGAGAGGCCCACATGGCTTCGTCGGGCCGGCGGTGGGCTCCCCCCCCGACGGCGTCGCCGGCGCCGCTCCACGAAAGCTGCGCTGATCTTTCGGTCGGGGGCGGCAAAGAGGGGGGTGGTGACTAGGGGGGGGCGGATATCATGGCGGGGGCCAGGATTGTTCCCCAGATTTCATGGCGCCTCTTCTTATTTGATTACGTCCCGAGCCCCCCCGCTGGGCCGCGCACATGCCGCCGGTCATGATTTGCACCCCCCCCTCTTGGACACCCCCCTCTTGGCCGCTCCCGACTTTCGGTCGGGCACGTCCCTCTACAGGATGAATATTCACCAGCAGTCAAAAAACAGTTTGGGGACGACGTTTCTAGTATGTGTTCGGCTATGCTTGAGTATGTTTGGATGGTCTTCCATGCGTCTTCCAAAATCCGCCTGTGGGAGGACATGCCCGACCCAAGCTTATCTTCGAAAGTGTTTTTTTTCTGCTCGCAGGGCTGGACCTAAACGGTGTTTTGGCGATTTCGTGGGCCGTTTTCGTTTCGGCTTCATTTTGCGGTAGAGGCGGATCGAAGACGAAACGAGGGACAACGAAAGCCAAACGAAAACGAACAACGCCGTTTAGGTTCAGCCCTGCCTGATCGTCTGCGAAATCTGCTCATCCATGAGGGGGGGATAGGGCCCCCGTGCGCATCGCCTCTGCCCTGCGAACCCTACCCCTACCCCCCACGATTTCTGAGGGGGAGGGTGGGGTTCACTTCGTCTGGGAGCTCCCGAGCGAAGTGAACCCCACCCTCCCCCTCAGAAATCGTGGGGTGTAGGGGTAAGGTTCGAATTTGGCCCCCTAGATGGATGAGCCGAGGCTGTGTTTCGGCATGTGTCTGCGGGGCCCCGTCTGGTGGCCTCGTTGGCCTGCATGGGCCTATGCAGGCCCGTCGTCCAGCTCGAGATCAAGGGAGGGCCTTCGATCAAGAGGGGGAGAAAGACACAGACACAAGTAAGCGTCGATCACCAGGAACAGATGGGAGAATGTGGGAAGTGGGAGGGGAAGACAAAATCCCTGAAAATATGGGGAACTGTCAGCAGTCCTCGGATTTGTCTCTTTTTACGTGTGTGTGTGTGTGTGTCTGTGTCTGTGTCTGTGTCTGTGTCTGTGTGTCTGTGTGTCTGTGTGTCTGTGTGTCTGTGTGTCTGTGTGTCTGTGTGTCTGTGTGTCTGTGTGTCTGTGTCTCTGTGTCTCTGTGTCTCTGTGTCTCTGTGTCTCTGTGTCTCTGTGTCTCTGTGTCTCTGTGTCTCTGTGTCTCTGTGTCTCTGTGTCTCTGTGTCTCTGTGTCTCTGTGTCTCTGTGTCTCTGTGTCTCTGTGTCTCTGTCTCTGTGTCTCTGTGTCTCTGTGTCTCTGTGTCTCTGTGTCTCTGTGTCTCTGTGTCTCTGTGTCTCTGTGTCTCTGTGTCTCTGTGTCTCTGTGTCTCTGTGTCTCTGTGTCTCTGTGTCTCTGTGTCTCTGTGTCTCTGTGTCTCTGTGTCTCTGTGTCTCTGTGTCTCTGTCTCTGTGTCTCTGTGTCTCTGTGTCTCTGTGTCTCTGTGTCTCTGTGTCTCTGTGTCTCTGTGTCTCTGTGTCTCTGTGTCTCTGTGTCTCTGTGTCTCTGTGTCTCTGTGTCTCTGTGTCTCTGTGTCTCTGTGTCTCTGTGTCTCTGTGTCTCTGTGTCTCTGTGTCTCTGTGTCTCTGTGTCTCTGTGTCTCTGTGTCTCTGTGTCTCTGTGTCTCTGTGTCTCTGTGTCTCTGTGTCTCTGTGTCTCTGTGTCTCTGTGTCTCTGTGTCTCTGTGTCTCTGTGTCTCTGTCTCTGTGTCTCTGTCTCTGTGTCTCTGTGTCTCTGTGTCTCTGTGTCTCTGTGTCTCTGTGTCTCTGTGTCTCTGTGTCTCTGTGTCTCTGTGTCTCTGTGTCTCTGTGTCTGTGTCTCTGTGTCTCTGTGTCTCTGTGTCTCTGTGTCTCTGTGTCTCTGTGTCTCTGTGTCTCTGTGTCTCTGTGTCTCTGTGTCTCTGTGTCTCTGTGTCTCTGTGTCTCTGTGTCTCTGTGTCTCTGTGTCTCTGTGTCTCTGTGTCTCTGTGTCTCTGTGTCTCTGTGTCTCTGTGTCTCTGTGTCTCTGTGTCTCTGTGTCTCTGTGTCTCTGTGTCTCTGTGTCTCTGTGTCTCTGTGTCTCTGTGTCTCTGTGTCTCTGTGTCTCTG